CCTGCTTTTTCTCTGCCTCAAGAACAGATATCCATGATAGAAACTCATCATACTTGCTTGACATAGTATCAACGCTCTTTTTTAATTCATCGTACTGTTCCTTTGTACTAGACACTATAGTTTGTAAATCTTAAAGAAAATTTGCTTGTTCATTCGTATAAACTGAAAATTATTTAAATGTCCTATTTATTTGTTGAGTAAATGTGATGATTTTACTCACACGTATAATTTAGTCTGTTGTAATCACTTCCGTAGATGTTACTAGCACTTCGTAAACGTCCTTGGGCTTTATGCACTCCTAATATTTTATCACAACATTAATTATTAGAAAATACAAGTAATAGAATAAACGATAAACACGTCTTTACTCTTTGGAAGTCCGAGGGGAAGGGGGAACATCATTGTTAAAAAAGAAAAACTTTGTGATAAATATTGTTCTGGTCTACATTTGTGTTTTAGCCAAGTGTAAATAGCATTTAATACATTTATAACAATTAAGGGGCCTTACCGATGCAATGGGTTCAAATCGAAGATTACTTCAGTAATCTTCAATAACTGGCATTCTTTCAAATACCCTTCATTATCTCAATACTAAATAGAATTTTAATTTCTTTTTTTGATACACATAGATCCACCAGTTTTTCGTACTTAAAACTGAGTCGTACACAAAATAAAATCAAGTAAATCATCGCCAAATATTTTTTTTAAATATCATTCAGGAGATAACTTTTCATACTACAGGGCTGGTTGAAGTGTCCACTTGAATGTTTCATTTAGCGTTTTCTAGAAGCAGGTAAAATGGACGGTGGAAGCATTGGAGACGTCTCTACGTTCACTCTTTGTCTATTACGACGTGAACTTACTCTTAGTGTAATCTAAAATGAACTACAGAACTTTTTGGCGGTATTTCCGGTACATAGCATGGTTTTAGATTTGAAGGGACAGCTACAAGAGGCCACAATTCTTTAGGCTGCGTGATTTGACTTACATAGTCGCCACTGTTATTTTTATCCGGTCTAGAATTAGCCCGTTCTAGATTTAGGTCATGATGACCTAGATTTAGAACGGGCTAGTCCCTAAGATATTCAAGTAAGTCGTACATACTACAAAAACAGTCTTTGGGTCTTACGGGTCAAACGTTCTTACGGGTCGAACGGTCTTACGGGGGATGAAATTGGTGCTGAGTCCGTGTAAGTATTAAGAAAAATCTCACATGCTCCTATTACTCTTACCTAATTCTCATCAGATTATTATCTTTACTGACTAAAGGAGGTACAATTGTAAGAATTTTTTCGCATCTTTTTTTATAGTATAGGGGGCAAACGAGCATGCGGCTCACCTGATGTTACCTACTGATTACCATCGCCCATAAACAACTGCAACACCAGGGTTGCCAGTAGGTGAGAATGGGGGCCTTCAGCGGCATGTAGCTTGAGCGAAGCGAGAGCAAATCTACATTAGAGGTCTAAATTTTTAGTCTAATTCTCGAGCCGCTTTTTTTTATCTTTTCTCCATTTTCATTCGGAATGTTATATACAAATGGTTCAATAATATAACAACAAAATATGAAGGCTAATCTATTTCATCGTTAAAAATGCAAGGCGTTACAAAAAAACCAGTTACTTTAATAATAAAACATTTTTAACGCACATGTTTTCTTATGAGTAAAACAGTTATACAGTAAAGTATCTTTACAATAAAGTTCACAAAGAGTATTTAAATTGGGAGCTCCTAAGCAACTTATATCTATTGTGACGCCTCATAATTTTTATTAATAAATAATAATTAAATTCATTATACAGACATTTAAAAATGTCTTAGAAATTATAATTTAAACAATAAAATACAAATAATAAGCATAGAGTTCAAAAATATCCATTTGGAATATTGAATATTATATATATTAGTAAACGCATAAAATGTCTCTAAAAATCTCTAAATTTATTAAAAACCTGCTTAAAATGTTCAAAATGTATCAAATCATATAAATACAAGGCGATTATATTGCAATAACAAAGATAAATAACATTTGTAATAAGTTAATGAACGTGTTCTTGTAATGTTTATTGGGCGTTGGCCTTATATTGGGGCGTTGTCGGAGACACATACCCAAGGTTGTACATATATATGGGGTGGTCGGCTGACCGACTGCTAGTACTAAGGTTGCACAATGACTAGTCCTATATTAGGGACTTAACATAGTAAGGTCTGACGAACCAAAGCATTAATATAGAAGGTCTCTATGATGCATAAGCATTATGATAGCAGAGTTATGACTTGAAGTCCCATATGAATAAGACATACAGTAGTATGGTCTATGAAATAAAGCAAATATGTGGAAGGTCTCAAATATGTAAAAGCATTATATTGAAAGAAATGGGACTTGAAAAGGATTATTATAGTGGCGTGTAGGTTGCTTCGCAGCCTCTGAGACCGAGGTAAACTTGGACTCACTAACCGATGTGTCCTAGACATATCATCTTAGTGCCGGTGGTAAGCGGGTTTGTTGTAGCAATACGACTTGCCCGTGGACATCGCACACCCCTACCGGTTGTGGGCGGCGTCTTAGCGCATAGCGTTATGATACGTCGGCTATCTTTCGAATTAGGGTGAGTGTGTTTGGTAGTACTTTTAAGTGCAGCAAGCATACTCAACTTCATGTCTTAGTGCAATAGCGCTATGATACGTGGAGTTTTGGCTACTGACGTCTTAGTACCGTACTACTATGATATGTTGGTGGTAATTTTAGTTAACAACATTATCAAATTTTTTTACCAAAGTCGATAGGGATCATGTGGGTGTGTTGTGAGGGGGCGCCATCCGTATGATAGTTGCATTGATGCTTACTGCTACTTGCAGTATTGTGTCTTGTGATGGATCTGCGGGTGTGCTGCACCTGATTCGATGCATCTTGTGGTTCTGGTCGATGGAGGTATGCGGGTGGTGATGTCTGCTGGGACTGTATGGGGGACCTTGGGATGGTGTAAGCCCGACCATAGTCGTATTGATGCTTGTTGCATTCTGTAGCATTGCGTCTCTACGATGGTTGTTTGGCGGGTCGCTATTCTCAATGGCGCTCTCTGCGTCTTGGTTTGACTCACAACCTAAGTAGCTTTGCCCAAGTCGGGTCCCTTCATTGCGGGGCTGTAGACTGTCTGCCCTCCATGATGTTTTATATAACAACTTAATAATATATCTCTATTAAGTTCCCACCTTTAAGAGATTGAAGGCAACTTGTTGGTGGGTGAGACAAACATGATCGAAAAATGCATATACTCAACGTCAGTGACACAAACCCTTTCTGATGGCGAATTATTACTATTATCTTATAACTGCCTATTGGCTATATCTGCCATTGTATTGGTTGGTGGAGCATATGTGTCGACCTCATGCGGGTGGTAGCTGGAGGGAGAATCTGAGGAGGCTCTCAAGGCTGCGGCCGAAAGCCACGCAACGTGGGACCCCATTCCCTTGAGGTGAGCGGTAGACTCATGACACGCTCTGCGGCCAATTGGCCGTGCTGACCATGCAATTGGTGGAGATGCCTTACACTTACATCACGTCTGCAGGAACGGCGGTCTGGCAGGTGGTGGCGCTCACGGAAGGCTTTTTATGGTCAGTGTGCCGATTGTTGCCTAACCCGTGTGACGTACATTTCACTGTGGCTGGATTTGATCGTATTCTGTATGGCGTTTACACGCATTGACATGCGCGACTTCGGTCGATGTTTGTGCTTACGCACTATCAAGGGGCCAAGTCCTCTTTTACTGGTTCGCCAGTTATTTTGCTGTGGACTACGGTCCAGTTCCCAACTTTGCGTACCCTCCGGGGGGAGCGCATTAAAATGGTTGGCGCTCACCGTGCGCGGCGTGTGTGGGGCCGTGTACCTCCTCCACATTTTTTTAAAATGTGGGAGAGCGAAGCCCTTGTAACTGGTATTTGATATAAATATTGTGAGCCTTTTCCAAGCGGGAAGGGATTAATTAATAAGGAATTGACTGTTGTGAACCAGATACAAGTGGAATAGGGACAATTTATTGTTCTTAACCTTTTTGAGCTCTGTCTTCGTGAACGGGGTTCTTTAGCTTATAAGACTCTACCAACAGCTTTCGATTGCTCTCGTGAATATTCATTCTTCCAAGATACACCTAAAAGAACTAAGTTACTATACAAACACAACGTAAAAAAGGGTCCTAACTAAGACGATCACGCCATAAATTTATTAAACGGCCTATATTTAAACCTTTAGAAAGATCAAGTTATACTGGTCACGTAAATTAGATATATTTATATATCTTACAGATATAAATTCTAAAGAAATACAAGTATAAGTGGATATATAGTAGAAGAGAAAAAAGATGGGGGGGGGGTTCGTTACACTATGATAGTATTATTTTAATCACAAATATCTTGCACCTATTTAATTTTTTCACATCCTTTCAAAAAAATCTTTTTATCGTTCAAATATGTTTTTATAATTGTGTGAAACTCTCTATAATCAATAAATCCCTCACTCCATCGATACCTTCTGTGCTTTTCAATCCAGTCAATTTGTTTTTTCTCTTCAGGAGATAATGAAGTGAATGGGTAAGTAGGTTTAATAAAGAATATATTGGTGTACTCTAGAGTGGCTACAGCAAACTCCTTCACTATAAATTTATTTTTGCTATTTTTGAAGCCTTGAAGATCGACGATTATTGTATTGCTCGTCAGTTACATTCAACATATTACTCGTAAGTGGACCTGTTGTTGGTTAGTGTAGCAAAAATTCAGTATCAGTGCGTGCGAGTTTACTTCTTACGAAGCGCTTACTAATAGCAGTTACGGCTATAGTCCCGCGTGTTGTGCGAACAATAAAAATAATATTTTAAACTATATCACTCGGTCACCTCACCCCCTGCACGATAAGAGACAAGTGACATAATTGCTGTCGCACTCACGCGCCGCTTGAACCTGCATTGTTTGCATGTATACGTAGTTGCCGCGATTTTGAACGCAATATGCATCAATGCTCCGCCTGTCATACTAAGATTAAGGATTCTGAATGCATGCAATGTTGTATCTGTGTGGCATACTATCATTGCATATGGGTCGCCACTTCGCCTGCTCAGCCTCAAAACCTACCGACTGAAGTTAAGGCAGATTGGCTGTGCCCTGAATGTCGGAATAAAAAGCCGCACAGCGATAACTCTAATACGCCGGTCCGGCCATCGACGCCCAGTAACCCCAAAACAAACGTTACCTTGCGCCGTAAAGGCCCGGATTCACTCCTTGAGTCAGACGCCGGTACGAGTTTTAATGTATCACGGTCGGAGTTGCGTGCTATTTTTATTATACAGGAGGAGATGAGGGTCATCATAGAAGAATGCGTGAGAGATTTGAAAGCTGACCTGAATAGACAACTAAAGGCTTTTAGGGGAGAGATTACTGGTCTCACGGAATCAATATAATTCATGAATGATTCGTTTGAGCAATTTAATAAGGATTTGAGTGGCTGTAAGACTAAAATTAACACAATTATTAAGGAAAAGGAAACCCTACAGAGTGATCTTATCATCATTACTAGCCGTCTTAATCAAATGGAGCAAATCTCTCGGGCATCGAACCTGGAAATCCAATGTGTTCCTGAGCGTAAGTCTAAAAACGTTTTATCTATTGTAAGACAATTGAGCAAAACACTAGACACTTATATTGTTCCCGCATTGCTAAGAAGAACCCCGAGAGTACCCATCCCCGCTCTATTCTAGTTAGACTTAACAGCCCTCGCTCCAGGGACTCCCTGCTAGCCGCTGCTTTGAAGTACAATAAAACTCACTCACAGGAAAAACTGAACACGGAGCATGTGGGGTTGGGGCCTAACAGGAAGACTCCCATATATGTAGTAGAAAATCTTTCACCTGAGAATAAGCTTATTCACGCTCTGTCCCGTAAACGTGCAAAAGAACTTCAATACAAACATGTGGGCCGGGGCGGCCGCATATACATGCGAAAAACTGATACATCTGAATACGTCTTAGTACGTAATAAATCGACCCTGGACAATTTGTTTTAGGTTCTTTTTGTTATTTTGTAATCTATCGTGTAATAGTATACGGCTTAAAGTTCAACAGTTTAAATGTATATTTTCAAAACGTTAGGGGTCTTCGAACGAAGACGACAAACTTGTACAAAAACATATTAAAATACGATTATAATATAGTTGTGTTATGTGAGACTTGGTGAAATAGCACTATTTTTGACTCCGAGTTGTTTAGTGATCGTTATGCAGTTTATAGACGCGACCGCGAGACTAGCGGCTTTCATCAGCACAAATCTGGTGGCGGGGTATTGGTGGCTGTGTCAAAGCATATTTATTCCCGTAGGCTACACCATTTTGAGAGTAAATGCGAGGATATTTGGATCGAATTGAATATACCTACGGAAAAAGGTACCCCAAATAAACTTTTATTGTGTGGCGTCTACCTCCCGTCGCCCATTCAAAAACATTTTCTGGCACATTATGTCGACAACGCTAATAGAGTCTTAGAGTCAAACGCAAAAGTGTTAATTTTGGGAGATTTTAATCTGAGTGGTATTGCCTGGAACGATACAGAGGTACCGTTTGCTGTAAATGGCAATAATATGACTAAGACTTCATTTGAAAGCACTTTACTGAACTTCATAGCTTTAAATAATCTTACTCAATATAATACTACGGTCCTAAACCATAAAGGCAAAATTTTATACCTGGTTCTCTCTAATCTTAATATTCTGTTGAATGTGACACGAAGTAACTCTGAGCTCAGTTCTGTAGATGATTATCACCCACCGCTGGAATTTACGCTGCCCTCCGGGTATTCAGCTAAACTATTTCCCGTAATTATAATGAGAGACATAACTTCTATAAAGCTGATTTTGAAAAAATATCTAATTATTTAAGCTCGATACCATGGGAGAGTGGGGAGAGTGACCTGGCTTCGTGCTCCTCGGTGGATGAAATGACTAACAGATTTTACTCAATACTAAGAAGTTCTATCTTAAAATATGTTCCTAAAAGCAAACCAGCATCAAAAAAGTTTCCTCCGTGCTATACCAGGGATCTTATTCGCCTTTCACGTGAGAAGTATAAGCTCAGGATGAGATACAAAAAATACAATAACCCACTCGACGAACTGGCATTCCGTACAGTTAAAAAAAGGTGCTCTGATTTAACAGAATCTTGTAAATATATAACTGATCTCGAAAAGTCCCTATCAGTAAATCCAAAAAAGTTTTGGACCTTCCTCAAGAGTAAAAAAGTCAATAGCAACGCGTATCCATCTGCAATGACATTCGATGATAAAGAAGAAACTTGTGGAACTGGTATTTGTAATCTTTTTGATTCGTATTTTGCCTCGGTTTACCGGCCAAGCTTGCCTCTCTGCAATGTACCTGATCTAGAATACTCAGTCTCTTGTTTCCTTGGAAGTCTCACCCTTAGGCGGGAGAATGTTCTGAAAACTCTGAAAGGACTAGATAGGACTAAGGGAGCAGGACCGGATGGAATACCTTCTTTGTTTGTAGTTCAATGCTGTGAATCTCTCTCCTTTCCTCTAACAATAATATTTAATGAGTCTTTAATGAATGGTGTATTTCCCTCGATCTGGAAAGAGGCAAGAATTGTTCCAGTTTTTAAGTCGGGAGATTCAGCATCCGTGAAGAACTATAGGGCCATTTCGATACTATCAGTCTTTGGGAAGGCATTTGAATCGTTGGTTTGCCCGGTCTTGTCCTATCACATAAAGCATTTAATTTCTCCTCGCCAATCAGGTTTTTTAGCAGTTCGCTCAACGGTAACAAAGATTGATCCCAATACACAAACAATGTCAATTAACTAATAAGTGTCCATATCGTCGTAAAAAAAATATCTTATAAAAAAAATATATATTTACATCTTTCTTCTCTTTTAAAAAAAAAACGTTACCCCCACATTAGGATTTCCTCCTGTATCGTGGAGGCAATTAACAAACACAAATTTCACAAGGACAAACATCCAGACCCGAAACAATTATTTGTAGGCCATATAAATACTTGTTCTGTGCGGCACTCGAACCCGCGGCGGACCTTCTTCATACGCCACAGGTCTTGCAGCAGGATCATGGCGGTGATGTTGAGGTAGATAAGCAGTCCGAGTGGGTCAAAAACTGACATTACTGTGCTCAATATAGTCCCTACTGCTGTGTGCAAGGAAAGGCGAACTTCCCGCGCCGAAAATCATTGACGTCATTACGTACTCTCGCGGCGGACTAGAGCGTTCGTTTCCTCGCCATAAGAAGAGTTGCGCGGGTTCGTCGCGGTCGATCTTAACACGCAAAACATCTCGCGGACACGGCTATCTTATTTTCCCTAAACCTAAACAATATACCGGGTAGGTTCCTTAACAAATCGGGGCCGTCGAGCAGGTAATCGTTAAGGCATTTGCCTGATGCGCGAGCTGTTGCGTCTAATACCAATCTCACCTTCCCGGGCTTGTTCGGGTTCCTAACGGCGAAGTGTGGCAGGTAACAACTCTTGGGATTTTCCTTCTCTGTTCCATCGGCTTCACTAGCGTAGCCCTTCTCTAGGAGGTTATGCATTTGCGTCGTATATTCGTCTCCGGTGACTGGTTCATATTCCGTTCGATGGTTCGAAGTCTTCAAGCTGCCATTTTGTAGCTAGGTGGCATCCTGACGTCGTCGTCCCTCCATGGCAGTCCGACTTGGTATTGCTCGTCGATCCTCTTGACGGTGTGCTGGAAAATATGTCAACAGCGCGCTCCTCTTCCCGTTTTGGCCTACTGTTAAGCGAGATACCTGTCGAGTGGATCTCGTACTGCCTCTTGAGGAGATCTGTCAACTCCTCGTCCGGACTGGCGAACGTTTTGACGACTTTGTCTAACCGCCCGTTAACGTTCGATAGGTGTAATAATTAGATGCCAGTTGTCGGCCCCTATTAGCACTTTTTGCTTCGCGTCGTTGTAGCATACTTCGCTCGGTAAACCAAGTAAGTGTCTCAACCGCACTCTTTACCGACCGACTGCAAGCCCACCGTTAAATTATTTATTGTTCGTGCACTTACGTTATACATCTCGTTTCTCGTTTTTCTGCGTATCTCTATAGTGACTAGTCTACCGCTAGCCTCGCGTTGGCTGTTTTAGACACGCCTCGAATTTTGAGCGGCTTCGTCGGTCCTTCCGCACCTAACTTGCGAGCTAGTTCGTCGTCGATTAATGATATAGTGGATCCTTCGTCGAGGAGCGCGTACGTCTCTATTTCCTTACCACGCGGTCCGCGCACAATAATGGGGCACACTTTTACAGCACTGACGCACTACTAGCTATATTCGACGCGACGAGCACTGTTTCGTCTGGTTTTGCTGATGTTTCCGGTGTCCGGGTCTTGGGCGTGAAGTAGTGCAGGGTGGGGGGCACTGCAGCCGTCGACACCGCACTTCTTGGCTTTACACCTCAGGCGTCGATGCTTGCTGCTTAGGCAACTAAAGCCCACCCCATGTTCCTTCACCCACTTACACCGGTCATCCAGTTCCAACTGTACCAGTTTCCTACATATAGCGATTACATGTTTACCCACAAAACACAAACATCGGACACTTTCGTTGTCCTATTGGGTGGTAAACGTCCTTACGTCGTAGGGCTTATCCTCTGCGCGGCATGTTACTACGATCTTTTTCAACGGCGGTGCTTCTCGTTTTACGGTAGCGGTTTCCTTAGTCGGCGCTGAGAACGTACAGGCGTGACTTAACGCACGGTCAGCCTCTCTCATCATGAACCAGGATAGTGTGACGATATCCGGTTCATCAATACTTCCGTAGTGCTCCGCGTAATCGCACCAACGCGGCCGTAAATGAGGGCTAAGCTTGCTTGTGACCACCCTAGTGAGCAACGGATTTTGCAAATATCCTTTGCCGTCGATGTTCTTCATAATGCAAACTATGTTTGTTATTTGAATTGCGAACGCGTTTAGTTCCTGGGCGGTTTGACTTGAGCGCGGAAGGCGTTTTAAATCCTCTAACGCACGATCTATAATCACTTCCGGGCGGCCGAAACACTACTCCAGTATCCGCATAACGTCTGCTGGATCCTTCGCGGTAAACAGCAGGGCCGATAATGCCTCCCTAGCTTCATTACGTAAACAATTTCTCAATCTTGCCATATTTTCCGTATTCGTGAATCCATATAGAAGAGTGGATTCTTTCATTACGGCTTTAGACGTTAACCATTCCGCGGCTGAGCTGTTAAAAATAGGTCAGTCCTCTATGCCGCGGCTGGTCTAAATCGTACAATGCTTTCTTCCTACCGGCGTTTCGTCGTCGTTCCTAGTCTTCTGGCGTTTTGTCTTACGCGTGATGTCCCACGTTGCGGCTTTCGATCGTCTTCAAAAAGACGCACGTATTGGTAGCCGTTCCCGCAACAAGTGACGTTACCAGGAGATTT